ATATCTGTCTCTTTGCCCCTGGCCTGTTTGACTTAGCAATGTGTCCTCAAGTTTCATCCATGTCATAGAAGGTGCCAGAGTTTCCTTCCTTCTTAAGGCCCAATAACATCTCATTGCATGTTATCATAACCCACATTTTGTTTATCCATTCATTTATAGTTGGGCTGTTTCCACATTTTGTCATTGTGACTAAGAATATGACAATAGTTGTCATTTTGAACGATGAATGTGGCCATATACATCACTCATGTAAAGCTAGTTTTTGGACATTCTTTTGACAGGTTTTATCAGGAAATCTGTCAACCCTCGTCATGTCTTCTCTCCCATTTGGAATAAGTACAAGAAGTCCAGAAGCTTCGGATGTTAGCCCAGCCGACAATCTCATGACATTGCATCCAGTGATCATGGATTTTGATCAAATAATAGTCCTCGTAGTTTCAAACAATAATCATAATGAAAAATAATCAAAAACTGTTGATTGTAAGATGGTATTGATCGTAGATTTCATCACTTAGGTATCTATTTACATTTCTTATGATTGTGTAAGTTTGGTACATTGTGTTTTCCAAGTGTTTTGTTGTACGAGTTATTCAATGTGCCTAATTTATTGCTAACAGCTTCTTCATCTCTTTTTATTATTACTGTATTAATAATTATTTTCCCTTCCCTCTGGTATTGAAAATTTGTTCTCATTCTCTATGTTTTTATTTTTGTGTGTGTGTGTGGTTCTGGGGATTGAATTACTCAGGGCCTTGTGCATGCTGGGCAAACACCCACCCCTGAGTCACACTCCCAGTGAACTTTAACTCTTGTTCTTTTGTTGTTGTTGTTTTTTCTCTTATCCTGACAAGGTTGTATCAACTCATAAAGTTTTCAAAAGAAATAACTTTTGGTTTTGTTGGTTGTTTCTATGATCATTTTCTTTGTTACTTTCTTCCTCCTACTTTCCTTGAGTTTAATTTGCTTTTGTATTCTTTTTTCCTAATTTTTTGATGCAGTTGCTTAAGTTACTTATTTTCAGCCATTAGTTTCCCATATGAGCTTTAATGCTAAAAACTTTCTTGAAGCAGGGCACTAGTGCAAATCAGAAAGTCTGACGTGCTAGGTTGCCTTTGTCAGCTTGATGTTTCCTATAATGTCTGCTTTTGGGCACATTAGGTATTCAGAATTTGTATTTCAGAATTTCTAGACATGGGGGAATTTTCTGGTTGCAATTTTAATCATTGATTTTTAACTTAATTGTGCCAGGGAAACATTTTGTATACTTTTAGCTATCTGAAGTGCATGTTGCTTCACAAACAGAGTTTGACAATGAATGTCCCATGTTTACTTAAAAAGAATGTATACTTTTCGGTTTTAAGAGTTTTGAATTCCAGATGTTTCATTAGGTCATGTTTATTAAAAATGTTTAAAT